TCTTTATAATTTCCTATCTTGTATGAGCTTTGAGTTTGTCATGCTCTTCTTTTTCTAGGAGCTTGAGGTTCTGCATTAGGTTATTTATCTGAGTTCTCTCTGTTTTCCTAATATGGGCATTCACTGCTGCATTAGGTTATTTATCTGAGTTCTCTGCATTAGGTTATTTATCTGAGTTCTCTCTGTTTTCCTAATATGGGCATTCACTGCTATGAGTTTCCCTCATAGAACTGCTTTCATTGTGTCCCATAGACTCCTGTTTGTTGTACTGGCATTATAATTTACTTGTAGAAATGGTCTAATTTCTTCTTTAATTTCCTCTGTGACCCATTAATTGTTCAGGAAGGTGTTATTCAATTTCTGTGTGTTTGTGGGAGTTTTGCGGTTTCTTATGCTATTGATCTCCAATTTTATTGCACTATGGTCTGATAATATACAGGGGGTAATTTCAATTCTTTTACATTTATTTATACATGTTGTATGACCTAGCATGTGGTCTGTTTTGGACAATGACCCATGTGCAGCTGAAAAGAATGCATATTGTGATTTTGTGGTGCGGTACACTCTGTAAACATCTATTAAGTCCATTTGTTCAGTAGCTTGGTTCAGTTCTAGAATTTCATTGTTAATTTTTTGTCTAGATGATCTGTCTATTTGTCATAGTGGGGTATTGTGGTCCCCCACTACAATTGTATTAGTGCTGATTTGGTTTTTCATGTCCATTAACATTTGTTTTGTTTAGTTGGGGGCATTCATATATGGTGCATATATATTTGGGATTGCCATCTCTTCCTCTTGGATTGTTTCCTTCACAAGGATGTAGTGAGCATCTTTGTCTCTCAATTAATTTTGGTTTGAAATCTACTTTTTCTGCAAATAAGATTGCTACCCCTGTTTTTTTCTGGGTTCCTGTTTCATGGAGAACTGTTTTCCATCCTTTTACTTTCAGTCTATGAATTTCTTTTTGAGTTAGGTGTATTTCTTGTATACACCATATTGCTGGATTTTGCTTCTTAATCCATTCTGTCAGTCTATTTCTTTTGATTGAATTAAGGCCATTACCATTGATAGTTATAATTGATAGATATTGACTCATCCTTGTCATGATGTTTTTCTGTTGTTGGCTATTTTATTTCTTACTCTCCCCCCCTTTCACTTTAGTTTCTTACCTTGCCTAGTGGCTTCCCTCTGTTGGGCTTCATGGAGTTGTGACCTTCATTGTCTTTTTCTAGGATATTGCTTAGAATTGTTTGGAGTGCTGTTTTGGTATTTATGAAATTTCTCAGGTGTTCTTTGTCATGGAAGTATCTAATTTCCCCATTGATTTTGAAAGATAATTTTGCAGGATACAACAGTCTAGGTTGGAAGTTATTTTCTTTTAGGGGTTGAAATACTTCACTCCAGGCTCTCCTT